TTGCGATATCAGTAATGCTCCATATTTATTATGTTGCCAATTTATTGTTAATTTGTATTTTTCAAGTTTCTATGTTAGTTTTACCTGATATTCTCACAACAATGGCCTTTTCGAACAGAAACAAGTAATATTGGCACGGGCTTGGAAATATGTTTCAAATCAGGCGAAAGTACTTGGAATCACACGATTAGCCGACATTTATGTTATAGAAAGGATTTCATGTGTTCTAAATAACAATCTCTCTAGACATCGCCAGAAGTTATTTTACCATCCATGCGATTCGGGCAACTTTGTCTAGCGATCCTTTAAGCTCGTGATACCCAACATCTGTTGACCGTTATTAAGTCACTGGTATCGCGGTTGGTTAGTAAGTATTCCTTTGGTTAGTAATACATCATAAAACCCAAATACATTAAATAATCAATGCTCAATAGCATTCATAGGAATGCCCTTTTCCTTTGTATTGTATTTTGTAATTTGTTACTCTAGTATCTAGACTAGTTGTTTCCAGTTAATATTAACTATACAGTACCTATTTAAAAATCATTAAAAAATTTTAATTACCTTATAACTTCTCAATACAAAAAAAGGAAGAATTTTAAGCGCTTAACTTTTAACTAACCGTAAATAAAAATCTTAAGCTCAATACTGTTTTAATAAAGGTTTTAACAGAGTAGGCTTAGAATACTGACTGACAGACCAGTTAAAATGTTCATCTTACTTTTAAAATGTTAAATAAGAAACTCTTCACATACCATGTCTTTTTGTAAACACTCTAACGTCTTCAGCCAAATGGCCTTGGTTTCGTTGTTCTTTAACCATTATTTTTAGATCATCAAAAGCGCGGCATCTTGAAATTGTTACGTACAATTCCCCATGCTGTAAGCAGGGGATGCAGCTCTAGCAGATAAAGACCAACTTTTCGAGGACGAATTTTAGAGGAACACTCGTTTTCCAGCTGAACTTCAAGTAATAATTTCAAGACTTCATCATTCATAACTTTCGCCATTAATCTGGTTCTATTAACCAGTCCTTTTTTGGATTTAATTTTCTTAGTAATATTACAATTACACCTTTTTTGACATAACTTGCGAGGAGGTAAACCACTTGGTGCTAAAGTGTGAAGAAATTCATCAGGCACATGTATCTGGTCTCCCTCTTCTTGAATCAAAGTGTCCACTGAGTAGTAAAATCGGCTGTCATCATTTAGTTGCTCAACTATTTTATTATTTATTTCGTCACAAAGCCAAAACAATCACCTTTCCACCAAAAGGCTTTTCTTGGTCTTCTCTTCTGGCAATATATCGCAGTAATCTTTTTACAGACGATAAAGCTTACTAATATAGACATATGAGCTTCATCCCTTAGTATTTCTTTACAATTCCTGATATAAATCTCCCTACCACTCTGAATGAAACTGCAAAAATAAACTATCCCATTTCATCAGTCATCCTTGTATTGGAAAGTCAACTGATAAATAAACAGGAAAAGTAAATATTTAAAGAGGTTATTTTTATAAAGACAGATGTTTTTTTTAGAAATGAATTATATGTTTGATAAACTTAACTAAATGTTCACTTATATTTAAAAATACAAGGTAGCTTTAAAGTCCGATGGGTCAAAGCACATTGAACTGAGCGTGGCATCAATTATTCCATGACTTCTGCAGATAATTCCCTTTAATTTGACACAACAATCATCAAAATAGGTTGATAAAGAGTTTTGCTATGCACAAGAAATTCCTTAAGGAATTAGAATAATAGATGATTTGTTACAAGCCTATGTTACAATTAATATTTGTTTTACGTTTGTGTGCTACTATCAACAAAACATGCGATCCACCACTGAGCTTAAACATCGCATTCTATACTTCCTAACCTATCGTGAAGTTTGAAATTGGGAACACATTAGATCGGCATGTTGTGTTGATCGCAACTTGGGGTATATATGATTGCCCAAGTAAGTAATCCTAAAGTGGTTTTTTGACGTTTAACAAGAAAATACCTAAGTCACATAAGAGTGTAATATTAAGGACAATTTCGGAATGCATTCTCAAAAACTACCTGAAATGAAGACGAGCAATAAATAGCCGAAATGCATGAACAGCTACGTATGGCAATATTTTGAGATAGTTCTATCGTAGATTAAAAGAAGTCCTTTTATTTATGGTTCAATGTAGAACAATTGCTTAAAAACAATGATTATTATAAGTTGTATGTACATAATTTAATATAATAGACCTTATAAGGTTTTGTGAAGACTGTTTGTGCGATTATATATAAACCAGAACTGTAGGTTCATCATATGACATTAGCTCGCATTCGTAACCTAATAGTTGAGATTGTCCAGGGTCAGGTGCTGACGTGTACGCCTCCTTTCTATGTTTCGTTGTTGTCGCGTCGGAGGCATTTAAAAGAAAAAAACAACAAATAAACAAATTATAGCTACACAAAACAACGATAAATGCACAAATTTAAGTTACAATCATGCTAACACGATCCGTCATAGCGACACAAAGCAACGATAAATATATAAATTCAAGATACAACCATACTAACACGGTCCGTTTTCGTTTTGGGGGTTATGTTTACACAAACTCAAATAGTAAATAAATTTACTCAATGCGTTTCATTGAATCGAAAAATAAATAACAGCAATTAAATTATACAGCTGATCAAAATGTAAACAATTATGTTCTTCATAAGGATAACATGGGAACTTTCAAAGCCACTGGGGCAGAACCCAAGGGACTTTGTAAAAAATGTAAGGCCAGTTGGCAAATCTACGCGACACGCTCTTTCCAATGAGATGTCAATGGATAAAATCGGTTAAGAAATGGCGGAGGAGTTCAACCGACAAAGTTTCATGTAGCGTATTAATTATATAGATATATATATATATATATACACCATATTACCACACTACAAGTGTAATCCTACTAATATTATAAATGAGAAAGTTTGGATGTATGGATGTATGTTTGTGACAAGTGAACGCGAAAAATACTGGTCGGATTGGGCTGAAATTTGGCATGATGATAGCTCACATTCCCGATTAACATATAGGCATATTCTTATTTCAAAAATCCTTTCGGGCTCCGCCCCAGTGGCTCTGGAGTTTCCCATGTTAACCTTATGAGAAATGGAATTATTGAATCTTAACAGCTGTTTCAACTAAACAAGTTGGTTCTGTTCTATGATGTTCAATAGCATTAAAGTTACAAGGATTACCAACAGGGTGCAGCACTATTATTTCTTTTACATTTAGTACAACAGCTAATTTGCAACCAAAAGGTGAGTGAGCGTAGCGAACGAACTTCAACCTGGAGGCGAGTTAGCGTAGCGAACGAGCTCCAACCTAAAGGTGAGTGAGCGTAGTGAACAAACTTCAACCAGGACGTGATTGAGCCATGCGAACGAGATAATCTTGAAAATTAAGAAGTTAAACGGGGCAAAGCCCGCGGGTTACAGCTAGTTCTACAATATACGGTACGTAGTTTTATCCAAACAAACGATCAAAACCCCCTAATGATATTGTTATTTGATTCAATAGTCAATGCACATAAGCGAGTCTTATCTTTCAAAGCAGATTAAATAATACAAAGGCAGAGGAATGCGCGAGAACGAGGTCACTTCACGGTTGCTATAGAAACGACGAAACTATCCATTAGAATTGCGCGCCAACGTCAACTAAACTCCAGACTGTATAAACACGCCGAGTGTGTAGTGTTCGACGGAGCTAGGCTACTTTCAGTTGGCAAGACTGGCTTCTAGCCTCGAGCGACGTGGTTCAACCACGAGAAGCGCATCAAACTCCTGGGTAATCCCCGGTTAGCTCCTCCCACTCTGCCCCCTATCCCCACCTAAAAGACGAGCAAGTGGTAAGTCGGTCGGGTCGATTGACGACAAGTTGGTTTCTCGTATATAATAATTTAGTTTTACAGGCCGGTCAACTGGAATGACGATGAAATAACTTGTCGACGTACTGGTTTTCAGTATTTATCAATTTAATTAAAAAAGACGGTCTAGTGGCCAGACGACCAAGTATCTTGTCGGTCTACTGGTAGGCTCCCGCTAGCCGGTGTATGGGACAATTTTCAGCATAGATTGGAAACTCGCTGCACATTGAGCAGTTTGTAGGGGTATCTATGAAAAAATTCCCTGTACTACTCGAATTTGAGATTTCCTTCCGACTCCTTGTAGACCGTCCCCAGTATGATGGAGAAAGATTTATATTTTCTTCAAAAACGGGATTTTAGGTATTGTGCAGTACTTTAACTTCAAAGCATTGTTTTATTATCTCCAATATGGTACAAAAAATAAAATAACATTCTCCGACTTTTAAGTCTCAGTTTTATATTTATCCTTTGGTGATATCAGTTATAATTGTGGAAAATATTTTATGTTTTACAGTACAAAACCGCTTATCCGTCACCTAAGGGACCGGAACCATGGTCGGAACACTGAAAATGTCTGACTATCTCCGAGGAGAATATTAAATAGCCAAATTAATTGCTTAACTGACATTTATTAATCGCACGCAATCGTTGTAGATGATGTCCCCGAGACCGTTCAATATTTTGCCAAGATCACGTAAGATGACGATAAACGATGATGTGATCGATCACAGAAAACAAGGATGATATTTCTTTGCTGACGGGGAATAAAAAAAATATTTGCCGCAATTGCCGGAGACTGAGTTGATCTCCATAATAAGACCATGGTAAATAGTCATCATGTTACCACAATAACATTGTCTCTGATAGATGATGGCACGTGTGGGATTAAGCGAGTAGTTGGACTAGCTAATGTCGAATTAGCGGGGCTCTACTGTATAATCATCACTGATGGGGCTATAACAGTATTTTTTTTAATAGGCCATAGATTGCTTCAAAGAAATAACTTTTTCCAACTGTGGCCAAACTCGCCGTTTTCAACCGTTGCATATCACGGGATTATGAGCCAAGAATCATGACAAACTATTCTGACAATGAACCTTACCTGAATCACTTCGTAAATGAGATTTCCTATTACCCGAGACACCGCAGGCTGATGAAGCTGTGTTTCAAGACGAGTTGTTGGTTTGTTCTCATTCTGAAAGAGCATCATTGTTATTTTTTGTTATTGTTATTTAGGTGGTTTAAATACCTGATTCTGGCAATCCAATTGTTGTATTCCACAAGTAGTTTCAACCTGCCAAGAGATCAACATCAGGTGAGTAGCCTACAATCCTGATGACCTTCATGTGAAGTAATCATCCTTGTACTCACCTGATGATGACCTCTTAGCAGGTCAAAACTTGTTGTGGAATACAACAATTGAATTGCCAGAATCAGGTATTTACACCACTATTATACTATACATCATTTAAGTTTATATCTTAAGCCACATAAGAATAATACATCTATATAGGATTACCTTCAGTCTATATATGGCTTTAAGATACAAGAAGACTGTAAACCAAATACACACACAATCTGGGAACCACTATTATTAGTTACTAGCTGTACCCGCGGGCAGGGCCGGATCTAGACAATTTTTGAGTGGGGGCAAACTAAAATTTGCCGCCCCTCCCCCCCCTTCACCCACAACAAAAAATCCCTCACAAATTAAACCAAAATGGAATAGGTAAAGTGGAATAGGTAGATATAACGAATTCCTTGATATAACGAATTTTTTTTAATGCCCTAGAACTCTCCATAAGACACAAAGTATATTTTACCTCTACATAACGAACAAACTATAACAACGACCTTGATTTAACAAATTTTTCGTGATTTCGGCTAAAATAAGACACCTCAATATAACAAATTTATCATTGTCAGAACCTCTAAATTGCGAATTTAACCTCTGCATAACGAATTGTCTACGTCTTTCCCTCGATATAACAAATCCCCCACCCAATTATTGTTTTGGGAAAATCTGTTTCTTTATCAAATGAAATGGAAAGGTCACGTCATCGCTTGCGCTAACATTCGTCTGCTCCGTTTTACATCTTTGTCTGCTGTCTCTGCGCGCGCTATGTTGCAACTGAGAACTGATTTCATTCGCTGAGGACTGATGACGACGTAATGTTTAGTAAGCTGTGATTGGGCAATATGGGATAACTATGGTGAATTGTACAATTTTTTTGATAAAGAAAAACCTAAGAAAGAATATAAAAACAAAACCAAAGAGAAAGAATAACAACATCGCTATTTTAACATTCCTTTTACGAGTATTTTTACTATCCTGAAGTTGGCTATGATTATACACTTTTATAATGACTTATCTAATAATTTATTGTTTTCAATACGATTTGTTTCAACTAGCATTAGCAACACCAATGCTATAGTTAATGATTATTATTGACATTCCTCTGTTGTGATAAATCAGTACTGTACTGTAAGTAGCCTACCGGCCTATCGCGAGCAGTAGCTTACAAAACTTTCTACTGTTTTGTTTTGTTCTTTACATAATTTATGACTATGCAATACAGTGTTTGGCTAGGTTTTAGGAGGGTTAGAACAAGCTGTGATTTTAAACTTATAGTTTTTAACCTGTACCAAGGTCAATGCCATTGTCATGATTGCGCAATATTCAAGATCCCTCCCCTTTATTATGCCGGATAATTTAGGTTCTACTGTACAATGTAAACACTGTACTGTAAAGTATTGTAGCCCATGCTACTTTAATTGTACTGTATTTTAATGAGGTCAAGTCCCGACCTATATTGATCGACGCTGGTTCTGAACCTCGACTTAGCGAAATTCCTGCAAACCTAACCTCTATATAACGAACCACGGCAGTGAGGCAGGGCGGCATGGCGCCTTGACAGGGATGGCGATCAGCTGAAATTGTAAACAAACTTTGCTGTGCTGCTAACTATGCTATTAGGGCTCTCAGTGTTTTCTACTCCGTTGCAATTTATATTGATTTGATTTATATTGTAAAATTATTGTTTGTTTATTACGTTATGCAGTTTTGAAATTACTTAATTGACGTTCCTTGTGACGTTCGGCTCATTAAAAACTTTTACAAACTGTATTAAACAAATTTTCTGCAACCAGAAATTTGCCGCCCCTCAACCCTGCCGCCCGGGGCAACCGCCCCCTCTGCCCCCCCTTGTTCCGGCCCTGCCCGCGGGCTTTGCCCCGCTTAACTTCATAAGTATTCGCATGGCTCAATCACGTCCTGGTTGAAGTTCGTTCGCTACGCTCACTCACCTAAGATTGGAAATCGTTCGCTGCGCTCACTTGTTTTCAGGTTAGCTCGTTCGCTACGCTTACTCACCTCCAGGTTGATGTTCGTTCGCTACGCTCACTCACCTTTTGGCTGCAAATTAGCTGTTGTCATAAATTTTTAGCGAATTTCCCATATAGGGAATAAGCTATTACCGTATTTTATTGTTTATAATACTTTGATAAAGGTTTTTATGTTTTAATATTTAACATTGGAGAATTTAAACGTTGTTAAGTGCACAGGTGTGCTGCGATTGGGGTTTAATACATTTGGACTTATTCAAAAGTAAAATGGTTTTCTGTGCTGCACTCTGTAGAAACACTGTGGCACTATTTCAAATATTTCAAATCATGACTATATTGCTAATACAGAATGTTGTGATTATTAAAACCTACAAAACAGTTGGTGAAAGTAAACATCTGCTTTTAAATCTAGATATTTAATACGCGACATGAAACTTTGTGAACAATAAGGCTTTTTTGTTTTAAGATTTAACCCCACATATTATATACCAAAATGTTCGTCTAGGTGTGTAGATGTGCAAACTGGCTTTAGATTTTCAAAATATCTTTTTTAAGGGTGTGGGCTGCTCTCAAAGTTCCTTCAATAAGGATAATATTGTGATTGATTTGAATGTTATTACATTCTGAAACAGATTTCAATACATTAGTTTTCCATAACAAATTAATCCCAGCTGTTTTGTTTGCTTTTGAAATGTAAACAGTTTGCATGTTTTTTAAAAATAATTAGTGACCCGACAAAGAAATTTTACCTATCGGACACGACGGGAGAAAAGTTTTACATTTTATTTTCGTTTAAACATGCCAAGGATCCGACGACAAAGAAATATTGGCGGTCGGACAACATAGTCAATCAATATACGGCAAGCAATGTAAAACGTAAGGAGCCCAGATGAGGAGCCGGAACAGTTAGTGGCAACAAAATTGCACTGACAAATACAAGAATTCAGCAGCATTCACTTGGCGAGATGGCATTAAAATGTCAGAAATGTGGTGCGCTACATTTTAAAGAAGAACAAATAGGACGAGGCGAAGGATTGTCATCCTGCTGCCATAAAGGAAAATTGAATCTACCACCATACTGTACCGAGAAAGCTATTATATCCAGAGCCTACTTAATGGATCAAATCATTTGAGCAGAAACTAGAAAGAGAACATTTGATCATACAACTCTGCGCTCGCAATGGTCAGCACTCGAGCTAAAATTGAAGAACATAACGGTGGAGGGCCTTTCAAGTTTGATTAACTACTGTACATCAAGATAAAGAACATTTTTGGAAAGGTTTGCACGCTAATATACACATGTTATTCGTGCGAATTCGCACGGGTTCATCTAGTTATATTTATTTGTAAACATTGGAGATCAAAAAGTCTGACATTGGCCCGATTAAAACCCTCTGGGGCAGAGCCCTTTTGACGGATCTGCACCAAACTTCACTCGAACCATCCTTGAAATATGCTTAATAATGCCTGAAAGTTTCATTACAATCCGTCGAGCGGTTTTGGAGTCCATAACGTATATACACGCACACACATACATACATACATAGTTCCTCTTTTATAGATATAGATTGCAATCTGGATGCTATTCATACTACGATGAAGTCAAATTATGTTCTTGTTTGTATTTCTTAGTTGGTAGTGGGTGTTTTGTTCTGTACTACTATTTATCTTCTTTATACTATTGATTTTTTATTGCTGACCATAAAATTATTTTAACTCTACAAGGATTTATTTGTAAGCTATTGTTTGTGAACTCAATTATGAAACTATGACTTCTTTTAATCTTAACATCTCAATAAAACATCATTTAATAATCTCATTAAAAGTTGACTGATCTTTAAAGTACGGTTAATCAATAAGTTTATTCAATCTACACTTTGTCAAGCTCAGGTTGGCCGATTGACCCGGGACTACCTGAGGGCGAGACGCAGAGAGGAATTGTAGGAGTGGCCTCAGGTAGTGTCGGGTCCATCAGCCAACCTGAGTTGACAAAGTTTAGAAAAAGTGCAAAGAAGTAATATGAATTACCTGAGAAATGGGTTTAATGGATTCAGCTTTCAAAGTAAGTTCTTTGAGTTTATCCAGCATTTCATTGTCGATGTGGACGTCTACACTTTCAGAAATATCATTTTTTCCGTCTTGCTTTGATGCTGGTATTTCAGACTCAACATCACTATTTGTTTTCTTTACAATAGAACTATCATCATTGAGAACTGGTTTCAAAGCAGTTTCCTTCAATATTGTAGAATCTCCTTTCTCATTTGAGGTTTCCAATGGCTGAACCGAATTCTTTTTAGTGAGAGAATCTTCAGGGATCTTTGAAGGAGACATTGAATCTTGTATATCATTGGAATGCATTGCATCTTCAATTTTCTTTTTTGAAGACTCATCCACACTGTCTGTGGGAGCAGAGAGTACCCCGGTAATTAAGAATATCAGCACGGCTATGCTACCTTGATGCATCCTGTAATAGAGGAAAATTTTAGCTTTAAAGCTATAGTGTTTGGTTGTTGAGTTAGAATTAGTTATGACAAAGAATTTAGACAAAGAACATAAGTGAAAAAACCATTACTTTTCAATCCCAAGTCAAGAAATTTATGACGTTTTGGCAATGGTTAAAATCCATTGACAGCGCTAATGATTGTGGAGTCCCTCAACATAATTCTTTCTGGGGCCACTTCATAAGCTATGTTTGTTTGAATCGAAAAATATTATAGGGCTTTTTATAATCTCAATACATTTGATAACTATTGATTTTATGATCATAACAATTTATTGAATTTGAAACAATATGTTTATGTCCTAGTCATCTTATTTCCTCCCTCTAATGGGAGTGACCAATGTCACCTGAATACCAAATATTTGGCTCACTCATTGGTTTTTAAACTTAATCACGATATATTCCAAGTGTGTGCATGAAATTTCTACAGAAACACAACATATAACAAAACTGAAACATATCTTGGTTGCCAGATACAGAAATATGTGTCAGTGAGTAATAAAGACAAATTAGTTACTATATCTATTATTAATCAAGAATAACCTTTCACTGATACAAACTGGAATACAGTACAATCTTACTTGAATATAATTTTTTGTAACTAAAGTAGTTATTTTGTTTAACCCAGGCCTGCGGTATTTTTTTTTTTTTTTTTTTTTTACAGAGCGTGTCCCTGAACTCTCTACCGACTTTTGAAGTATCATTCCTGGACCAAATACAAACAAAAATATCATAATAAAAAATTCCAAAACTTAAAAGTTACCTGCACAATCGCCATTTTCTTTTTTTTAACAAAACTATTTATTATTGGGAAACAGTGTTTTTGTGACCAATTGATATTCGGTACATAAATTAAAAATGCAAAGACCAAATTTGAGATGAAATATTATTTTTTATGATATTTAGTTTCAAAAAGGCGGAAATTTAACATTTTTTAAACTTGAATAACATGAAAACTACATAGGGAAACAAAACTACTGTGGCAATGTTTTATTTAAACAATTTTCTTTCAATTCTAAAAGTACCAAATTTAAGAAAATTGCTTAATTATTAAGGGAGAAAACTCACTTTAAGATACTTTGTATCATCAAACAATATCTGCAATCATTGGGTAACATAATAACATTATTGCTAGCTGGATAAAACAATCAGCTGATTTAATTGTTGGTTAAATGAATGCAAGTTGTTAATACAAGGTATATATTTGTATTTTTTTTAACCTAATCACACAGTTATAAATTCAAAACTATGATTACCTGAAAAATAGTAAACCATGATTTATTGTACCTACCAAATTTTATACAAAAATCCTTGTCTTATATGATAAAAAGAAGAAGAATGTGCTATACGATCCTACCTTAATATTGTTCAGTCACTAGTCAGCAAACCCACAAGCCACTCTGGAAGCTTATCTCACCTGAAGTTTCTTGCCCTACCCCTAATAACTCCCATATCTGAGTCCATTAGATAAGGAATTGCAAGGAAATTCAAAAGTGGTGTTCTTCATTTTTTACAAAAAGCTAATCCTATGTTCGGTTCACTAATTTCTTACAAAAACTTAAAACGTTTCAGATGCATTGCTAGGGCTGAAATAACTAAAAAAAGTTCACTCGATTTTAAAGTTTGAACGTTCACAAATTAAACCAAATGAATTATTATTTTGGCTTTCTCCCCCTAAACATAGCAAACGCAGAAAGTGTGTTGTTTTCGTCAAAACTTTTGAGTTTGAGTTATTGGTGGAAATATCCATTTTGGGTCCCCCTGAATCCAAAAGTGATTTTCAAAGTGATGTTTGTGTATCTCTACTCTACAGAGCTACTGACTACACTTGCAGTCCGATTTAGATTAAATTCAGTGTGTAAGGGAACTAGACCATTGTATCTCCTGGAGTTTTTCTAATATTTTTATTTTTAACAGAAAAAAAGATAACAGAAAAATTGGAACTCCATAAAAATGGTTCTAAATATTTGTAATTGGAATCTTGCGTGCTTATATGATAACTAACAGGAGGTTAACTAACAGTCTTAATGTCTTTAGTAAAACTATGTTTAAAATGTGTGTATTAATAAATCACTTAACAGTATCAAGTATAAAAGACACGCAACAAAGGTCATTATTTTTAACTCCAAACAAAATGGTACTGTTCCCAATGCTATTGCAATGGTTGTGATTTTACCCAATAAATATCATAGTTACTCCCCCCTCTTATCCATTATAAGGGCTGTTGGTAAGCTAATTAGAGAGGTATGTGTCAGTTTGCTGAACTGTACCTTTCATTTTGTAGGATGGTAGGATACACGTTTTGTCAATATACAGATTCAAGTAAATGAGGAACTCTTGTGGGATTGGTTGTGCAATCCTACTTATTTCACATTTCCAGACCACGAGCATCATTAACCATGTATAATTTCATTCAAACAAAAACAGTGTTGGTGCAGATTTTAACGTTTGGTGGATATGAGTGAACGTTGATTGTATTGTACAATAGAGTTTGCTCGTTTGCTGTCTCTAGTTTAGTTATCTCTTACTCTTACAAAAACTATACACTCATCCTTCACTCATATTTGGGTTAAAATACCCACATACGGTAGGTGTTGTCCTAAATGAATATATATATATACAGGGTGTCACAAAAAAGTGTGATGGGCTATACAGGACCTAATTCTACATGCAAAAATAAGTCAAAAATGAAGAATAAAATTTTTTGGATTTCGGCTTAGTTTAGCAGTAATCCGCCATTTTGTTTTTTGGGGAAAATATTTATTATTTCAAAATCCCTTTGAGATATTTTTACGAAACTTGGCAAAACTGTTTACACTATAGTAAGTAACATTTATAAAAAAAAATATTATTTCAACTTTCCAAATGGCGGCTGTTTAAATTTTTTAATGCCAAATTTCATGAAAACCGGTACATAAATTAAAATTTTGTAAGACACAAAAGCTATAGTATTTTTTATGACAAATCCAACAAAACAAAAATGAATAAAATCGGTTCATAAATAAAGAAGCTGTGTTTATTTTAGTAATTTAGACTGAAATTACTTAATACGTTACATAAATTATTACATTACATTTAATACATTTTAATATTAATAATTTCAGTCTAAATTACTAAAATAAACACAGCTTCTTTATTTATGAACCGATTTTATTAATTTTTGTTTTGTTGGATTAGTTATAATAAATACTAAAACTTTTGTGTCTTACAAAATTTTAATTTAAGTACCGGTTTTCATGAAATTTGGCATTAAAAAATTCAAACGGCCGCCATTTTGAAATTTCGAAAGTTAAAATAATAATTTTTTTTATAAATGTTACTTACTATAGTGTGAACAATTTTGCCAAGTTTCGTAAAAATATCTCAAAGGGATTTTAAAATAATAAATATTTTCCCCAAAAAACAAAATGGCGGATTACGGCTAAACTAAGCCGAAATACAAAAAATTTTACTCTTCATTTTTGACTTATTTTTGCATGTAGAATTAGGTCCTGTATAGCCCATCACACTTTTTTGTGACACCCTGTATATAGCTGATCATCTAGCCAGGGCTGTTAAAAGCCAAATGATCAATGCTAGCTGAGATCAGTTTTGATCCACTAATTGACTACTCAGGATCGAACCAGCTAATATGATTAAAGTGCCAGGCAAGCATTATCACTTCAAATCATGAAACATTATGGACCTGTAAGTCCCAGGATGCTGAATATTAGACCAAGAACAGTAAGGCTATAGCCACATAGCGATTTTCCCAAGCATCTTCTTTTCCCACTGCTGAAGTCCCAATAGTATTTGTATTAATGTGATATTAATGTGTTATTATTTTGTATGTGTGTGATATTAATGTGTAAAAAGTATGCCCCACATGCGTTGGTGCGTTTTGGCACTGAATCTGATTTTTAACTTTGCTACCATGCCAGAGGTGAGCTAACTTTGCGGAAATCGCAAAAAACAAATAAAATACTGTACTTGTTTTACTTTTTTGCCTATAACTCACAAACAAAGTATTTTTTTCAATAGCTGTCCTATACTAAATTAAAGTACACTAAATTTCCTACAAAATACGTACAATAACTCTATTTCTACGATGTTCCAAACTGACGCTAGGGCGCGCTCAAAATTCATAATTTTCTTTTACCTATTGGAAAACGTAGGAAACACCATTATAAAACCTTGGATTAGACAGACACCCAACGAACTCTATTTGATGAATATTGATTATTTTATAATTATATGGTACCATTAGGTCACATTTAGTGGTAAACTAGGTGGCGTTCGCAGAGGCATCCACAAAATTGAGCGGAGTCATCAAGGGTTCATATTATATTGTTTTTTGTCATACTGCAGTAAACACTAACTAACAGTCGTTATTAATGCATGCGTTGCGGGTCTAAAGAATAATTTTTACTCTTTAGGGAGTAAAAATCGTTTTTAGTCTCTATGGAGTAAAAATCAGCTGTTGTCAACTCAGTTGTAAATTTCTATTGTAAACAATTGCAAAATATGTATCGATTCGAGCTTCGTAATCATTTTAACCTACAGTCCTACAGTCTCTTCCCATAGCATTTTAGCATTGCGGATACATTAATCCATTCCCACACTCAACAGTGCTCACCTTTACTACTTCCTTCACCACCCTCTACGTCATGGACCTGTTTTCCTCTCTTCCCATAGCATTTTAGGATTGCAGATACATTAATATAATTGCCAAAGACAGTTTCCACACTCTGCAATGCAAGCCTTACTACTTCCTTCACCATTTCCTACGTCATAGACCTGTTTCCTTCCCTTCTCATAGCATTTAAGTATTAGATACATTTATCTAACTGCCCAAACGGTTCCCCCACTCTGCACTGCCAGCCTTTACTACTTCCTTCACCACTTCCTACGTCGTGGGGCCTGTTTCCTTCCCTTCTCATAGCATTTTAGGATTGAAGATACATTAATCTAACTGCCACAGACAGTATCCACACTATGCTCATACTTTACTACTTCCTAAGCCACTTCCTACATCGTGGACCGTTTTCATCACTTTCCATAGCATTTCAGCATTGCATATAGGCCTACATTAATCTAACTGCTACAAACGGTTTCCAGTTCCCACACTCCACACTGCTCACCTTACTACTTCCTTCACCTCTTCTTACGTCGTGGACCTGTTTCCCTCTCTTCCCATAGAATTTTAAGATTGTAGTTACCTACCTTAATCTAATCGTCATAAACCGTTCCCACACTCCGGACAGCTTGCCTTGACTACTTCCTTCACCACTTCCTACGTCTTGGACCTGTTTCCTTCCCTTCCCATAGCATTTTAGGATTACAGATCCCTTAATCTAATCGTCATAAACAGTTCCCACACTCTGGACTGCTCGCATTTACTACTTCCTTCACCACTTCCTACGTTGCGGACCTGTTTCCCTCCCTTCCCATAGCATTTTAGGATTACAGATCCCTTAATCTAATCGTCATAAACAGTTCCCACACTCTGGACTGCTCGCATTTACTACTTCCTTCACCACTTCCTATGTTGCGGACCTGTTTCCCTCCCTTCCCATAGCATTGCAAGGTAGGATTGCAGATATCTTAATCTAATCGACATAAACAGTTCCCACACTCTGGACAGCTCGCCTTGACTACTTCCTTCACCACTTCCTACGTCTTGGACCTGTTTCCTTCCCTTCCCATAGCATTTTAGGATTACAGATCCCTTAATCTAATCGTCATAAACAGTTCCCACACTCTGGACTGCTCGCATTTACTACTTCCTTCACCACTTCCTACGTTGCGGACCTGTTTCCCTCCCTTCCCATAGCATTGCAAGGTAGGATTGCAGATATCTTAATCTAATCGACATAAACAGTTCCCACACTCTGGACAGCTCGCCTTTACTACTTCCTTCTCCACTTCCTACGTCACGGACCTGTTTCCCTCCCTTTCCATAGCATTTTAGGATTGTAGATACCTTAATATAATCTTCATAAACAGTTCCCACAGTCCGTACTGCTTGCCTTTACTTCTTCCTTCACCATTTCCTACGTCGCGGACATGTTTTCCTCCCTTCAAATAGAATTTTATGAATGCAGATCCCTAAATCTAGTCATCATACACAGTTTCCACACTCCAGACTGCTCACCTTTACTACTTCCTTCACCCCTTCCTACCTCACGGACCTCAAGCTAGTGTCGTCATTTGATTATATTTATGATCCATACCGTCTCTGTTCTAATATCTGTGGAATAATGCTATCAGCTATTTCTTTATCTACTGCCTTTGACTATTAATAAAACTTCTGTATCCAATAGTCAATGCTACTGCATTCAAAAGTTAACAGCTGATCATATGTCTTTGTTTATGTGTCAAATACTGCTTCCATAAGGATTACATTGAAACTTTGAGATCCAGTGGGGCGGATTCCTGAGAGACTTTTTTAACGCCATATAGATGTTGGCACTCACCGACATGGTCTTTATCACCATGCAAAATTTGAAAACGATTGATTCAGCCGTCTAGGAGGAGTTTGCGAATTACGAAATGCATAAGAGTCAACATATAAGAGCTTCGCTCAAAAAATTTAAGTGAAGTTTATAGTCGGTAACCATAGCATTAAAAAAATAACTATACAATTTTCAATTAAATACATTTGAAAATCTATATACAGGGTGTTTGGTAGTCAGTGTCAAACAGTTTAAGGCATTATTAAGCACGCAAATTGTGATAAAAATACGCCATTTGGATAGTTATATCTCACTCCTACTTCCGGCAACAGCCATTTTTAGATTTTCCAAATTTCTTGATATTGCCTAATAAAATCTCATATTTCTCAACCTTTTAAACCTACATAATGATATTTTCAATTGCATTTTTAGAATCGTTATTAAATTTTCTACGTTAATTCATTACGTTGTTCATTTTTTCAGCGTGTTTTCATTATTTCATTATTTCATGACTCCGCTGGCGCTTTGGAATCTTGCCCGCACAGTAATTATTAGAAGTACCTGTTTTTTGTTATCAAACCTTCTCAATTCTTTCTAATCAAACATCATACGACTCACTCCCACGCACGGGTTATCCCATGTGGGATTAATTTCGTTTATTTTTAGTTATACATTTTAAAACCTATTTCTATTGCATATATACATTTTGTAAATATTGTCTATTTTATACGAAATAAAGGATTTTGATTTGATTTGATTTGAATTATGCGTTTGTGCGTGAAAAATTGTTTATGTGGCTGTAACCTATCAGTGTTTGTATCTTCTTTGGGATACACCATTAAAGTAACAAGTTAGATAGTTTTGTTAAAATTAGGGAATTGAGTTGGAAAGGAGTGGAATTCAGCTAATATTAGTATAGGGTAATAAGTTTCCCAAATAACTGTTGAAATCTATTCTCTTCCAAAAACAACTGTTTAAAAAAACCCTTCCAAAGCGTCCCAATCTCAAATGATAATAATAAAAAAAAATCTTTAATGAGCCACTTTCTTTTCAAATACCATATAAATTTTGATTTAAAATACTGTACTAATATTTGTCAAAACATTGTACAACTTTTCTAAAGCTTTAGGGAGCTATCTTGTAAATTTAAACAGGACGTTATCATTCAGACTTCAATCATCATCTAGCTAGGACCGAGGATTTGGTAATACTAAGGAAATAGACAACACAAATTTTAACGATTTTAATAAATATAATCAGTGTATCAAAACTTATATAAGCTTAAACCTTTGGCAAGAAGTCTGGGAGTAAAAGTTGAGTGAGCGAAGATTTGGCTTTTCTTGCATAATGTTTTCTTGTGCACCTGTTGCATTGCACGATCTGGACAAATTTCCAGGAAGTCTTTATTTTGCATCATTTCTTTCCATTCAGCAACTGGTTCACAGATTTCAGAGCAGAAATTGGAATCTAGAAAAAATTGACATCGGTTATTGATGAGATATATACAATTATTTTGGAGTAGTCACACCGGTCAATCCCAAGCATAGATGTTCTAATCTTGACTTTGCAGCACAATGTTATTGAGTTAAATTTGCATATATATTTTTATTATACTCCGTTCACAATATTTAGGCGGTTTGAGGGGAAGTTCCCCCCACAACTTTTTTCTGCCTAAAGTATGTTGCAACTGATTGACGTTTTGACAAATCTCAGCTGTTGAGCTATGTTTTAATGGTAGGATAAAGACGTGGAGGGGATAGATTTCTTGACCTAAAAACGCCGAAATTTTGTGAACGGAGTTTAGTGGAAGTTTGATTACATTTCTAAAAAGATCAAAATTTATGTAAATCAAACTTACAGCAAAGATATCATCGTAGTTGACTCTCTTATTGATCATGACAGGACGGTGACCCGTTGTGCTGCTGGCAGAGCTCTCGGCTGTTGCTCCAGCCCCGACGTTGCTGTCTGCAGCACTTGTCCCTACCTCAGACCCCGCACTTTGCTCTGGCGTTACTGTCTTGTACACCGGGGGCTCGTGGCCCCGCCTTCTGTGTACTGGCTTTGTGATTGGTCCTGCAATAGTTTGAGATGTTTCAATTCGATATGTTTATCACAGAAATATCAGTAGTACAATGCTGGGGTTTCAAGAAAAAGACCTAGTCTACATGACCTCAACTGCATTACTCTCAAATCCTGATTACAGTTATCCTGAAAATAAGACCAACTCGTTAATACCAAGGCCAAAATGTGTTTCGGATTCCACTATAAACTGTAGGTCCCTGAGTTGCCATTAGCGGTATGGGCTATTAATTAACAACTGTGTCTAAGGAATGTGTCGGCCTTAGTCACTATCAAGACTACAAGATCGCGCCACTCATTCCTATATACACTCATCTCCATTCATACTTGGTTTAAAATACCTACTTTGTATGGTGGCCATTTCAATGAAATGTAGGTATTAAATGTATCTCTAGTGTGTCTTAATTATGTTGTAAAGCATTGTAAAGCAGCTATTTAATAAAATATTTTAAGTGTTAGTGTGCTTTGATGACTTTTTGGATCTGTATGTTAAACAGGGCTAATAAGATGAATCAAATCTTCTATTGATATTTACTTCTTAATGAAGGTTAATTAATGTAATACCGTACTAATGAATTCAGAAGAGGAAACAGTGTATTTTAGAAATTAAAGGTACCTATAAATTTTATAATTTACTCTTTGTGTCACAATCTAAAAACTTCCATGAATACTAACCTCTGTTGTTCAGGTATTGGTTCACTGCTTGGAGAACAGAAATTGGAATCTGAAAAATAGCAAAGATAATGGTGAGTAAACAGCATAAAACAATTGTAATTATGTAAACCACAACAGTAGCTGCCAAGACTCAACTGCTGTTTGAGATAGAGCAGGCTATGGAGAAAAGAAAGGGTTCCTATTTGTGTCATTGGTGTTGATGCCAATGGCAATTTGTACATCCGAATAACAATCCATAAATTTTTGTGGACAGTTTTTGTTTCCAACCGTGCCCTCTCTCACCAAAGTCATAGACGAAAACCACTAGGCTAGCAACACCATAGCCCTCAAGCTTAAATACTCTAGGGACTTAATGTTGTAAGTTAACAAGTGGGCTGACAGAAATGCTTGTTGGCAGAAGCAAACTGGAAAGATGGTGAAAGTTAAAGTATGTATACGTATCCTAACTTATCTAAAAAAGCTTAATTGAGGCTACTCACATTGAAAATGCCATCAAACAGGCCAGGTTGGTAGTGTCCAGGCTTGTGCTGTGAGGGATGACCCCCAGTAGAGGTAGAGCCTCCCAGGCCCCCACCAGTGCCAGCTGAAGCTCCCAGACCTCCGCCAGTGCTGGCTGAAGCCCCCAAGCCTCCATTGCCAATCCCTGCCCCAGCGGTTCCTAGTGGAGAGTCTGCAGAAGCTGATAGTCCACCCTCTCCGATCTCCGCTTTCGCTGAAAACGGGCCAAAAGACGCAGCAACGCCTTGAGACGCTTGGGGAACCTTTGCAAAAAACAACATCTTTTTTAACCACTAGATGACTTTTATACCAATTAAAAGAATAATATAACAGTCAATAAGTTATCCTAGTTTCAGCTAAGATATAATAATACCATAGGGACATGAGTGAAAATTTAAAAACGTACGTTTCATGTCCCTGGCCTTTTGCTTCGTAGATACTGGATTTGTAGTTTATTATTATGTGTTTTAATATTTTTTGGGACGGGAGCAACATGTTACACACATTTATTTGGTTTTAAATAGGTCCTAGGTATTTTTTTTGTATTTTTAAAGTCTCGAAATTCACGACCATGACGTGTCCCTAGGGTACATTTTCCAACTTTCACGCTGTTTTTAGACTAATTATTCATGCCGAAATATATAAAGCTATATTTTTTTGTCATCAATAGTTATTAAACTTACAAAAAAGGAGCATATTATAATTTTATTGTCATTGCAAACTGACTACCATGACAAAATAAGTCTGTCCCTCGATTTGGCGTCACGACCATTTGGGAAAAATTTTCAACTTTGGAGCAGGACAGTGGCAAGCCTGGCATCGATGGAGTCAGTTGGTTTTAGAGACTAGTTCGGGGTGTACGTCAGGATTGTAGTGCCGGTCGTTTCGAGTTGAATGGAGGAATTACAAGATTAATAAAGGAAAGATTGTGTTTTTTGTAATTTTGGCGTGTTCATGACCATACGTAGTCATTCGATGAAGTAGACATGGTGTTAATTTTTGTTTATAAGATATTTCAATTGCTAGATTAACCTAGAAGTCCACTTTGTACCCTCGAACATGAGGTGCAGGGCTAACGCCAGAACAGAGCCAAATAACACGTAATTTCACGACCAAAGTTTCACGACTATCGCGGGTTTTTTCACGACCAATCCAGCCTTATGGATTATAGTGTGTTTGGTCGTGATAATAACTTTAATATAATTGTAAATTGAACAGTTTAGTTCAATTGAAACACATATTTTTATTATAACTAACAGTATAATTGAAGGATTGTTTAGAAAGATTTAGATTATTCCAGACAATTCACGACCGTACCGCTTGTCCCTGACCATCACGTTTATGATTTCTATCATAAAAATTTCAAAAATTAAAATATCGTCATATTTCAATGTTTTATACACAAAAGAAGCACACCTCTATACAAACATATCGATTTTTCGAGTCTCAGGTAAGTTTTTTCGGAGTTATACAAAGTTAAAAAGATTTTATTGGCTTTTTTTCAATTTTTTGAGTTTTTTTTTCTAGAAAGACCAAATATACCAAAAGCTCAGTGACCTTTTTATTGTATGCAAAACATAGGTATAAAAATAATATTATCCATTTTAAATATTTATTTAAACTTCCGTTATGGTTGTGACAGGATTTTGTGTTTTTCCACTAAAGATGCTCTTTAAAAGAAAACTACCAAAGATATTGCGTTACCATGGACATTTTATGAAACTTCAAATGTTAATGAAATAAAAAAAATAATACAAGTTTTGAAAAAAGGGGAAAAACATTTGCAAAGTGCTTTTCCTGAAAACGTACGTTTTTAAATTTTCACTCACATATGCTTTCAAATTCTGAATAGATGCTATTGAATCTTCTTCATCGTTGATGTCATGAAAATTCATCATGAACACACTAGAAGATAAGTATAACATCCTTAAATTTTAATAAGTAATAATGACACTGATTACAGACCCATGGTGTTGCTGACGGATTATGAGTTATGATTAATAACTGGCAACATAATCTATCATTTTACCTGCAACACCACCATTAATCGCCAGTGTCTAATGCAAAGTCCAACACCTCGCTCTCGTGTATACCACAATGCTCACGGTGGAGGAAGATCCTGTTTCCTGTGTGAAAATAAATTTTAGCACAGTGCTCGCCCCCCTCTGGTTCTTCTTTGCTACCAAGTATATTTCCTGCACATCATACTAGAGCTGAAAGCCCAAGGTCGTCCCATCTAAGCAAGTTTCCTCTGTACCTTACTTTTCTGTGGGACATCTTAGAGATTCTAAGGTGGTTAAATCAGTCTGATACTTTGCCAACAAATAACATTAACGTTGAGTCATGGTCAACAACATACACTGTAGAAGACAAGATAATAGTCAAAGTCACTATAGAGTTAACAATCACTATCCATCACAATCACGTGCTTCAGAGTCATGTTCCAACATACCGGCTCCTTATCGGTGACCACAGCCTTCAGATGGTTAGGTAGCGCAACTGCAGACGACACTACAGCTGCTAACACAAGTACAAGTCTCCCAGCATACATCATCTGTAACACAGCTATAGATTAAAACCTTTGTCAGAATGGAAAATGGTGCTAATTACCTTAAACCATAGACTAACCAACACATTATGTTTTATCTATGCTTAAACCAATGGTTTAGTTATTTTTAAGGAGTTTTTTAAGACATAGAAACACCATATGTCACATTTGGTTGATTTTCCATCAAAATATTTATTCAGTAAATGTGATAGATTTTTAATCAAAATATTTATTCAGTAAATGTGGTTGTATATTTACACAAACATGAGTTTACGCAAAAGTGATTGTGTATTTTTTCAAAGCGATTGAGTGTTTGTTTACATAAAAGGAATTACATTTTTGTGCAAAAAAGATTCAGATTGTGTATAGTATTAACGAAAAGTAGTTGCATATTGTAAGCTAATAAGAGTGATAAAAATGAGAATAGAAGGAAGGGTGATCTATTTACTAAAACTAACGCTTGTTCAACTAACAAACTGAGACAAGCCGATTCTTTTAGTAAAATTGCTTATTAAAAACCCAATATGATCATCAGCTGATGGGTGTTCTTTAACCATAAATTACATGCAGTTTTTTTTTTTTTTCAAGCGGGCACTGTATCACTGAGGTATAGCCTCCAAGTTTATTAAAAAAATGGTATAAAAAATTCAACTATCTGCCCTATTACTTCTACAAATTTCTTAGATTTACATTAAATCGAGATAAGATCACAAATAGAATAAAAAGTATACAACTTTACTATACCGTAATTTTATTCTTGAGGATTTTGTCTTGGAATTTTGGTCAACAATAACTAATTGGAAACTACATGCTTTTTGCTCTTGCATTGTTAAGAACCTAGTCATAGTCACTCAAATAATAGATTTTCAGTCCTTGAAAGTTTTTGTTATGTTAATACAAAAAAGTCTAGTTTCACGCTTGACTGATAGTTGTGGAGAAAATGTGTTTGGGAAGAACTTGTACTTTTTAGGAATTCTGAAAAACTTGACCTTGACTTGGGAATGTGCCATCTTGGGGTCAGTGCCTGGTGAGGGTTAGGGGGGGGGGGGGTCCAGTTAGCTGGTGAACATTTTACAAAACTTGTTTCATACAATGGAAAATCCCGATGAACTGTGTTATATAGTTGACTATCCAGGGAAAAATACATAAAAATGTCATTAGCCAGAAAAAAATACAGAAAAGGTCTAATTTAGTTACCGTCTTAGTAGTTTGCTAGTTATATCACATTAATACAGGTTTGTAAAGTGACATAACGAATCAGAGAAATGAATGAAGGTAACCATTCTCTTCTGGAGGGACGTTCAAATACCCTAGCCAAAAATTAAACTCTGTCCAGACCACAGACCTACAAATAACAGTTGCAACATGTTGCCAGATAACGGTGCTGCAACAATACTTTCTACCCTGTTACTTCGGTATGTGATTACTTCTCGCCTCGTAGGCTGTCGAAGGACTGAACCACGTCTTTTTCTATACCAGTTGTTAAGTCTAGCCTTGAATTAAACATTACTAAGTGGAACCAGCGAGTTATAAGGTTGTTACCATCAGGATGATGATATGTTTTGCATTCATTAGATTAATGGTTTGATCGCTGCGTCAGCAGTTTCACCTCTAACTGGTCTGATTCAGCAACACCAGGTTGGTTATGAGCTGTTTAGTTGTTGATGATTGGTAGTTGTAATGTAATTATATCGTGAATCATCCAATGGAAAATTTTAGCGAGATCCTTTTGTTCTGGAGCCAATAATTCTAATGACTTTGACCTCTGTCAGACTTTGGATTTGTTTACGAATATTGTAAATCTCATACCGTTACAATATAGCCTTTTTTCTGCGACCATTTATAAAAGTAGACATCATATTTTATTTTCATGATAACAGTTGTACGTCGATAGCACAGATAATATAACCCCTACTTTAGTAGGGGTTATATTATCTGTGTCGATAGCCAGTTTTAGAACAAATGAACTTAGTTATAAATTGAGCCACTATCATAAAGTGCTTCTCTCGAGTATACTACTTTTTAACCAGGTCAAACTGGAGAGACAACTCACTTTAAACTCACTTTAAAGCCAAGCATAAATATGTCAAATAAACTATCAGCGTCAAAAATATTAAGAGTGAAAATAGTATTTTGGAGTAGCACATTCTGTGATAAACAAACTCATTCTTTAGGGACGGTCAACTATGTGGTTGTTCCTTCTTTATTATGCTACAAAGGCATATACTGTAAATTAGAATGTCAATATTATTCGCCTGATTTTGAATAAATTTTTAGCTTACTTATAAATTTATTATCACATTTTAATGCCAGGATTGCAGCAACAAGATAACTATCATCTTTTCATCTCCCAGAACGCAAAAATATTTTTTTCTTTAATTAACTTATGTTGTAACATACTACCTTAACATTAAGATGAAACTTCAAGGCAACCAAAGGAATTAAAATGACCAATTAACGTTTTATAGGTATCGTGTATATAAGACCATGGCCAGTGTTTAATTACAATGGCACTTCTTTTATCAGCAATATAAACAATGTAGCCTAATAAAAAAACACACACAAGGTCAGTCAATAATTGATGCTGTGGAGTGTTTTGAATGTGAGTGTGTGTGAATAAAAATGAAATATTAAGATAGAAATAAAATAAGACATGTTTTCAAGAAGAACAGAAATCAATAATGTTTATTTGTACAGTATGAATCATGTTTTAAATCATCAGCTGTTCTAAGTAAAGGCTAAAGAAAATTATTAGATAAAAGAACTGAACAGATGCTTCAAACTAACCACAAACAATAATAGTTTACGCCACACTACATTATTTTGACGAACTTCCCACGCAAGGATTTAGTCCAGAAAACAGCTGTTTGCCGCCAGCTTATTCAAATGGGGTTTCATTGCGTAATACTGTTCTGCAATGAGTTTTACCGGACACCAATCAGCTGATTATACTGTATTTGCGTGGCAATGATTGGTTATAAACAAAAACATAACCTCTCTTAGAGGTCATGACTGGTGATGTTTAGTCCTTTAGTTGGTGGAAATATATAAGGATTTGTACGAATTAAGTAGTATGGCGTAAACTATCGTACGTCACTCGTCCGAAATGTGTTTACCGGACTCGAATGGTAATCCCGTACTCGACTTCGTCTCGCACGGGAACGACCACACTCGTCCGGTAAACACTTATTTTCAGGACTAGTAACGTAATATACTATTTCAATTGAATATTCAGTTGTATTGTAACCATTTCAGTTTTAACAATTAATTTGAGATTATTCAGTAATAACCCTTGTTGTATTATAGTGTTATATACCATAATTATATTTATTCTTTATCTAAGCTAGGCTATGTGATTTGTTGTGTTGTGTTGGTAACACTGTTTTGGATATTGTAGATTGATCATCAACCACTTCCATTTATGCTAGATTATGACCATATTGTGAGTTGTGATGATGTTGTGTGCTGTAAACTTATCATAATAAATCCAGTGAATTAACCAAGACTGTGTGAGTATTTCAATACCTAGTAACAATCCAACAACCCTTAAAAGTGTTTAGATCAAGAGCTTTAAAGTTATATATTTTTATCAGAAAAACGTAAATTATTTTCTTGAATATTTTTGAAAAAGTAATAGGAATATTATTTTTCTTACATAAGCGAAAAATGCTACAAATAACACATTATTATACTCGATATTTATAGCCAACAAAATAACATGGGAGATGAACTAAAACATTATACTGATGTTTCAGTTTCCCAGAGGGAGACTGTTCTAAGTCCCTTAAACACAAGTCAATGCTATATTATCAAATGAACAATTAAATTGTTACTGTACTCATAAAAGTGAGAACTTTAATTTTATAGTTAGCCAGTAAAGGTACACAGCCAGTGGTTACGCCATCTCTACGGTAAGACCCGGAAAGTGAGGTGACCGCTGCCCTAGATGTCTAGATAGTGTTTGTGTTGAGGAGAGAAGCCGAGAAGCCAGATGAGTTGCGAGAACATGTGAAAGTGTCAGTAGAATCAGCTGATAATGCATTGCGTCTTTGTCTATTGTTGCAGTGTACCAACTGTCAATGGTACACACACCATACGTGCTTAGGGGCACACAAGTCCTTTGTCGTACATAGATTAAATATAGATTTGTCATCCTTGAGGTGACAAATCCATATGTATTTGTCATCCTCGAAGATCAACTGAGGATAGGAGTAATTTGTTTTTTTTTCATTAGGTGAGATTTATTTATTTCTCCTAGGGCACTAGACTCTAGCCTGGAAACGTTTTTCCACATTACTCCAGGCTAGACATAGGGGTTGAGGCATTATCACTTAGATAAAATAGGCCTGCATTGGTGATAGGCAGGATTTTACCCCAGGACCTCAAGGAGTCAAGGACCGAAATCCCGCGCTCTACCACTATAGTCCGTAGATGGAACTTGTCTCCTGACCCTCAGTCTACCTGAGGACCGGCCAATGTTTTAAGGCTCGGGCCAGTTCCAGGTCCCGCAGGTAAAAGGAGGAGGGCGAGGAAACAGATCCCATCATACAGACTATGGACCAGATGTAGGTAGTCACAAAATTAACTACGGACAAGTTATATGTAGTCAATTTGGCTTTGTTTAAAAGTTCAACGTATTTGACGGATATGCGAAATTGACCATAGCATACTCTACCGTTGGCTCATGTCAATTACTTTATTCAAAAAGTCGCTATGGGTTTAAGATATGAATGGAGTTTCTATCGTTTGTATCTATATAACTTCGTTCACAATATTTAGATGGTATGGGGGGAAATCCCCCACCACTTTTTGTTTTAGCTTAATAATTAACTGCTGAGCTTTTATTTAAAAGGTAAGGGCCAAGTGGGGGGATAGATTTATTCCCCTAAACCCGCATAATATTGTGAACTAAGTTATAGCAATAGCCAAAGGTAGAATGGATTAAAATCAATAACTTACTAAGATCAGCTGTTTCGTTAACTAAGCCCATAATAGGCCATGATCAA